TCACTTTCCAAGTATTTATTTATCTCCCGCTTAAACTCTTCAATTGATTTTACATCTGTAGCCTGCTGTAGCTGGGAGTTCCACATTCCCAGAACCCTTTATTCAAAAGTATGTTTCCTGGATTCATGTTTAACTGCCTTAATGCTAATTTTCAGATTATGTCTCCGGGTTCTTGATTGCCCTGATTGTCAATTCCATTATATTAAAGACCTCAGTTAGCTCCCTCCCTACTTGCCTCTAAGCAATATAGCTCACATGTTTATTCACATTTTACTATCACTAAATGCCTTCATCCCTGGTATTTTCTCAGGTAATTCCAGAAAATAAAAATTACTAACAGACTGTATACAACAATTTTCTCTCTTTCTTATGCCAAAAGGATACAATTCTCATCACAAATATTTTGGAAAACTATCCTTTTCTGAGAGCAACAATGCAAATGAACATTTTCTCCACAGTTTTCCTGAAGGCTACATGATTTCAAATCAGATACTAACCTAGGGGCTTGTACCAATCTTCACAATTATTGATGTGGAGACCTGATGCATGCGTTTTTATTCATTAGAAATACATTTTGTCCTAAGGCTACAAGGGCTTGCCAATGCAAGATCTTACAAAGTCATAGCTAGGCATGTTTTTAAAGAGGCAAACTGGTGTCATTTCTCATTGTCATCTTCCATTGTCGTTAAACGTCTCTGGGACGCTACTTGTGGGAAGGGCAATTTATAAATGCAAGTGGCTGTTGTATTTGCAAGTACGGAAAATGTCCTCTCCAGGCTTATTGTTCTTCTATCTTATATTAAGTTAGGCCGCTTTGAATGTTTTCGTCACTCAAAAATAATTCTTACTGGGCCAGCATTCAAAGTGGTAGGAGCCAAGGCATTTCTGCCAGGTTTGGGCAACTAACATTATTCATAATAATAATAATATCTTGGTGAACATATTGACATTGTATTCTGTATTCTGATGTTCTGTCAGTCAAGATGTACCCATTCAGAAATTGGCTGGCTGGCTCTCATTTCTTTAATTATTTTTCTACAAAATACAGTCACTACACTTGACAGTAAATCCTGTGGAATGCTTTCAGACATGTTCCCGACTTGAAAGGCGCGATATCAAATGCAAGGGTTATGATTACTTTATTATTACAGGTCTTCTTCAAGTTTGCTTCTAATGATTGATTTTTCAGTTTTCCTATTCTTGAGGTCAGACTAATTGGTCTGTCGTTACCAGGTAGGGCTCTGTCACATCTCGTGAATATGGGAAGCACGTTTGCAACACGCATTGTGCAATGGAAAGTACATTTTAAAATGCTATAGAAGGTAAAATACTCCAGAATTATGACAAAGCAAACATAAGGGGCTATATTTCTGCTGTGATTATTCTGCAATTTTTAAATTAATTCCATACCAATTTAAATGGGGGTTTAGACAGTGCAGTTCACACCTTTATATAAGCACAGAGAGTACAAATCACACTGGCTATTGAAAGCTATAGGGAGCTTCCAAGAGTGTGATTTTTAATGCTATTAAAGAACCAATCTTGTGAAATTTTTGAAAATGTATCAGACTCAATTTGGAAATCTTAAAGAAAAACTGTGACAAACAAACACTTCCAAATTAAAACTATGTAAGATTGTTCCAAAAAAATTTACACGATCTGTTAAGATCTTTAGGCTAAAACAGGAGCAAAATTGGGCCTCAGATAGGATGAACATATGTCCCCAATTTCCAGGGATAGCCCTTGGATGAGGTATCATGTCCTTGGCCAAATTTGCTTGAGCTCAGCTGCAAACTGAACAAGAACATTCTAAAACAGATCCACTCACCAGAGAAATACAGCCATTAATCCAACATGCTTTTCCAGTACTGCCAACATCAGCAGTTGTGGTGAGTTCATTTTTTTAATACATGTCCCTGGATTTGTTTTACAAAATAAGGTTACCTTACCTCAGACTTGCACACAGCAAGGCTTCTGCTTTGTTTTTTTTTTGCGCTATGTTCAGGCATTGAATTTTGGGGATTTATTCCTGTTCAAACTAAACCAGTCTGCCTAGTCAAGCTTCAGAAAGCCTGCATTCCCTAATCAGTATCCATTACAGGTACTAAAATGAATCCTTGCATGCTGAAATGTGTGATAACCACCATAACTTCTCATTCATTATTGCCGTAATATTGCTGCAGTATTTCTTGCTATGAGACATAATTGCAAGGTAATAGAATCATTAGTATCCAAACTCTCCAGGAGCTAGCTGTGCATTAAAGAGTAAAAGTAACACAAGCTGTTCTAGATTAAAATCCCACAAACATTATTAAACAATCAGCTTTATCAAATTTCCTGGCTATAAAATAACATTTTCACCACAATAAACTTTTGCATTTCTGTGAATTTATTTTTCTGTAAAATTACTGCAGTAGAATAAGTCCCAAGTGCTCAGCTATAAAACAGCTTGGTATCATTAGAAGAGAATTGTATTAGAACACCATCACTTTTCTCCTTATGTAAACCTGTAATTTTATGGTGTGGTTTTTATTTTTATTGAAATTCTATGCAAGTACAGATGAATGTAATTAAAAGGTGTTTTACACCAACCTGTTGTGCCCACAAATTATGATGACGCTACCTTTGCCATCTGCTTGAATGTCTTATATTCCTGTGTTCTTATTGCTTTATGCAACTGCTCAACACGATTGCAGATCTGAAGCTGCTTGCAATGAAGCAAATATTTTAGCCATTGTTTGGTTTGCATGGATGACATTTCAATCCGGTGAGCTGTTGCATTAATATTTTAATAGTGATAACCTTATGCTGGCAAAACATGAGAATGTCAGAGAGAGGGTTCAATATGTAGTGTCATGTAAAACAGGTTTCTTTGGTTGTAGATTATTTGTCCACAAAACACACAGTAATTATATTTTACTTTACATCCCGTGAAGGGCTTTGAGAGATCCTCCTGATGTGAAATGCACTATACCAAACGTAAGATAGCTGTGGTTGGAACAAAGCAACATTTTAGCTATTGTTTGGATGAGTGACACTTTGATTCGGGAGGTGAGAATTGGATTATTATCTTAATAGTGGTATCCTTATGTAAAACACAGTTGTGATAGAAATATACAGAATGGAGGAAGGCCATTCAGCCCATCCTGTCATCATCCCACCAGCTTGTTGACAAGTGAGAATTAAAAGTTTGGGGGAAAGCTGGGCAGTTAAAAAGTATTCATCCATGTCTATTTTATAGTCTTCAAAATTAATAGCTTGGAAATACTGATCACAGCAAGCCATGAAATGTGTCAGTTTAAAGTAATCTACTGCTGACGTTTTAACTGAGCAGTTAAAACCCTGGCAGATGTCACTGTTAGGATCTTAGTTTTCTGATCGAGGAAAAAGGTGAAGCCATTTTACTTCATTTGAACGCTGTTAAAATGTTTTAGTCGAATAGAATATAAATACAACAGCACTGTATAATTCTGTTTGTTAATTCTGTGTGGACATTGGACAGTCGTGTATAAATAAGTAGATAATTTGTCAGGTATTGCGGGATCAATAGCTGCTGTTGAATAAGCTAGCAGATACGACTTCACTGTGCATTAGAGATGCTAAGAATTCTTCTGATTTCTATGCAATACAGATTCCAATCAAAATCTATTTACCGATATTGGCAGAAGTTAATAGCATTAAAGTGAGCTGAGGGCAATAGACAACTGCATGTGCAGCTTAGGATTTAATGTGCATACAGTGAAAACCCTGATTATAAGAAGCTTCTGCTTTATTTCTTGCCAGCGTGCTGCTCTTTTCAAGTGGTGCTCAGTATTGCCTACAATTCAAACTTATATCTAGCATAATGTTCCCAGTTTTCTGCAGTGTTTTAATGAAGATATCATCTATCCATGAAGAAGTAAATTTTCTTTTAATGCTGCCTGGGTGTAAATGTCCTTGCTTTGCAATGTATATCTTAAAGACAAAGGGACAATATTTGCGATCAGGCGTTTCACTTATGTCACATACCTCTTCTCTTTCTTGATCTTAGTGTTCTGAATTGTGAATATTGATCGTGAAGTGTGTGAAATGCTCTGGCAGTCTGTGATCTCGCAAGCTTTAATTGCAACTGGTTGTCCAGAAGATCCCAAATCCTGAAATAAAGGCTGTGAAAATGCCAGAGTGTTTCCCAGCTGACATCAAATAATCCACAAAACAATACTCTGTATTCGATTGAATAACAGTGTATTTATGTAATTCAGCTTTTGGTAGTTTCAGCCAGAATCCATTAGGTACTATGATACGAATGTTCATATTTTATACCTGTAAAATGTGACACAAGATAATCCAAGTGCTTCAATATTATATTAGATACATTTTCTATTATAGATCATCTTTCAGAATTTAGGTGAAAGGCTAAAAGGATAGATGTTTGATTTAAGTATTCATTAGCCATTTGTGCATATTATAATTCTTGACTATTGGTATTTCTGAATTTATTTTTTGAAAGTCGTTAAAAAGAATTATGGGAAGTGCCAAACAAGTATAGCGTACTCTTTATTGCTTTGTTAACAGCTGTGTCCTATGCAAATTAAATTGTTTCTACCTCATTTGACAAAAAGATAATAAATCAGAAATGCAAAGAGTGGCAGCACTTGTTAGCTGTGACTCTTGAAGCTTGCATCACAGCCGAATAGACTGATTATTCCAAGCAGGTCAATTGTTCTGGCTGACATACACTCTAAAATTAAAAGATGAAAAGGTGAAATAGCTTTATCGTTGCCATAATTGAAAGCCTGAAGGAAGGCTTTAACTGTATTGGGGATGATGAATACCTTTTACCCTCTTTTACTATTTGAGAGAGAAATATGCAGTGTTATGGATGGCAAACTCTTGAGCACTATTCCTTCTGAAAATGCTGTGATTGTGAGGTTGAATTCAAAGTGAGAAATGTTAATGCAGGATATACATGAAAATAGTATGCATCTCTGACGTGTGGATATCATTGAATATTTTTTCAGATTGCAAAGTTAACTGAAGATCTGCAAGGAATGAAGATGAAAGTTTACTTTCCGAACGATAAAGAGGAAAGTCAAGACCTCTTGATGTTGCCGTCATCTCCAATATCTGACCAAGCATGTCTTCAACCGTTCACACCAGCTCTTCCACTTTCGGATCACACTGGGTTGCCTCCCCCACCTTGTCTGCCGCCTCCCCCTCCTACTCCTTTAAGTGCTGAACGAATGCCTCTGTCACCACATCACCTGCCATCCTCCCCTAAACTTGCCAAGGCTCCTGCTGTCCCTGTTTCCCATAGTGCACAATGCATGAAGCCAACTGCCTCAGAGATTTTTTTCCCCTCATCGGGGTTAGACACACATTTTCCAGTCACTGCATCATCCTATTTTTCTGATGTTAAAAGGTATCCTTCATTTTTGGCATTGCCTGCTGCTAGAGAACCGGCATCTCCAATATTACCAAGCTTTGGAAAACGATCTATGGCATCACAGCCAGGTGGAACTCAAGGTCATCTTCAGACGGGTTCAGAAGATCATCAGCTTCCCACACCACCTCCCCTGCCTGCTACTAAATGTTATCTCCCACCTCCTTCACCCCTTCGACTGCAAGGAACTCAGCAACATTCTTCGCTTGCTCAATCAGCTTCACTGTTGGACACTGGACAGCAGAAGCTTTCAACTTTTCTTCATGAAGAACCAAGTGCCAGACAATATCTTCTATCTACTTCATCTCCTCCACAGCCAGAGACAGGACATCATTCATTCCCTTTGCCCCCAACACCACCTCCACTTCCAGGCACTGGTCAATATTTTATCCCTCCACTGCCACCAACACCACCACCCCTGCCAGGTGTTGGACTATATCCCCCACCACCCACCCCGCCTCCTTTACCTTCACTCCTACTACCAGTTCCTGTACATCTTCCTCCGCCACCTACCTTTCTTGCTCTGTTGCCACCAACAACACCTCCATTTGGTACTGGTGACCTTCCCCCTGCTTCTCCTCTCAAAACTACAGACGGTTCCTCTCCTTTGGCCTCTGGCATTCGAAGTCCACTTCCATATCCTCTACTGGGTGCTCGAGTTCTTCCTCTTCCTCCTCCACCAGGCACAGTTCCACCTATTCCTACGTCTCTTCTGCGTACTTTTCCTCCTTCTCCACCTCCTCTCCCAGATACTATACCTTCTTCTGCACCCCTGTTGCCAGGCACTGTACTTCCTTCCCCACCCCCATTGCCAATCACCGTTCCTCCTTCACCTCCTCCATTACCAGGCACTATGCCTCCTTCCACACCTCCTCCACCAGGCACTGTTCCTCCTCCTCCACCTTTTTTATCAGGTGTCTGTGCATCTGCTTTTCCACTTTGTCTACCCAGTGCTAGAGTTCCCCCTCCTCCTCTCCCTCCTGCGTTACCAAACACTGGAAGTCCTCAGCTGCCACCCCATCTGCCTGGTACTGGAGGTCTTCCTCCTCCACCTTGTACTGGTCCTCCTCTGCCACCCTCTCTACCTAACACTAGAGGGCTACCTCCTCCTCCACCTCCTCCCCTGCCACCACCATTACTAGGTACTGGACATTCTCCTTCTCCTTGCACTAGAGGTCTTTATCCTCCAACAGACACTGGATTTCTCCCACCATCTCCTCCACAGGCTATTAAGGATTTAATTCCTCCTCCCTCCCCACCTCCTCCACCTCCTCTACCAGGGGCTGGGAATCATCCTCCCCCACCAGGCAATGGCCCTCCCCCTCCACCACCACATATACCATTTACCAGAGGTCTCCCTCCTCCTATCCCACCTCCTTTGCCATGCAATGGAGGTCCTGCTCTGCCATCTCCGCTAGCATTCACTGGTCCTCCTCCCTCACCTCTGCTGGGCATTAAGGGCCCTCCTCTTCCACCTTCCACAATGGGTGTTGGAGCATTGTTTCCCCCTCCACCTCCTCCACCTCCCCCACGTCTCCCCTTAGGTGCGGTGGTCCCTGTTCCACCTGGAGGACTAACCAACACTGCTCAGATTGCTCCAGGGTTACGTCACAGTCTGCAACCCAAAAAAGAATACAAGCCTGTGGTTCCACTGAAAAGAGCGAACTGGTCTCAGGTAAGACACTGATATAGTTTTCTGACATCTGGAAAAGTCCTGTAGCGTATTGGTTAGAGCAGTCGTCTCGCAAGCGAGAGGATGTATGTTTAATTTGTTACCCAAGTTTCTTTACTCCACAGACCTCTGTTTACCTAGCAGTAAGTAGGAACCCAGCTGTTAGTTGATTGGTAGATCACTTTTCCTAGGATAATAATCCCTTTTAAAAAAAGGAAAACAATCAAATAATTTACTTACTTCAATCCATGACTGTTTGTGGGACACTGCTGTGTGCAATTGGCTGCCAGGTTTTGCCCACAAAATATATAGTCAATTCACAAGAACATAAGAAATGCTAGATGAAAAAAAAGATTCATCTAGTTTGCCTTCAACCTTCCTGGTGGTTCCATGCACATTTGTCCCGAACTACCTATTTACTGTATCCCACAATGTTATTTCCTAAAAGAAAACTATCTACTCTGTGTTTGAAGAATCAACACTTGCTGCTTCAACTGTGTCCCGAAAGTGCCTCTTCCACGGGTTTACTATTCGCTCACTAAAATTATGTTTCCGTAAATTTGTTTTGAATTAACCCCCCTTCAATCGTAGAATATCACTTTACAGAATATTCTGTGAAGCCCTTTGAGAGGTCTCGAAGACGTGACAAGGCGCTAGATCAAATGCAAGGATTATTATTATCTTGCAAAACAAAATCCAAGTTATTATTCATATCAAGATATGAAAGGTAAAAAAATACGCAACCTATTACCATACCATGTCACAGTAAAATAGCATCAGAACCATTACAAATCATCTCTCATTAGAAGTTAGTGGTAAAGTTTCAACCTGAACATTCGGAGAAACTTCATCAAACTATTCCTGAAGGCTTGAGTGTCATACTAAGACGTGTGAAGAATATCTTGCCTTTGTTGATTTGAACTAGACACCAGATAGATTATGAAAATGTGATCCTGTTTATTCAAGCTGAGAATCAATTTATCAGCAATGCTACAGAAAGGTTAGTATAAAGCTGCAGCAAGTTCATTTCCATTCCAAAATTGCCTGGTGAAATGCAAAACAATATAGCATATGTAAGATCCCAATAGCATTGCAGCAAAGTCTCCATATAAGTGTCAGTGAAACCTATCCATAGAGACTAACTATTGTGTTGTTACATTAACTTTCTGTGGAGTCCTGTAGCTCAGTGGTTAGAACATTCGCTTTGCAAGCGAGAGATCTGAGTTCAATTCCAGGCAGAGGGCGAAACCTTGGGCAAGTTTCCTTTCTCCACACAGAGCCTAATAATAATCCCTCCAAAACCAAAAACAATAATTAAATTGGTCATTTTCAATCTATGACTGTTTGTGGGACATTGCTGTGCGTTCGCCCACAAATATACAGTCAATTCATTTTACAGTGTGTTCTATGAAGCGCTTTGGGACGTCCTCCCGACGTGAAAAGTGCTATATCAAATGCAAGGATTATTATTGTCAACTTAATGACACAGACCTGAATCAGACAAAAGTCATCTGAAGTCTGGCCAAAGCGGGCTGTTATAGACTAGATTTTATCATGTGTTAGATATTGTAGATCAAATTGTTTGTCTGGCTGCTCCACACCATCATATATTACAGCTTTCTTAATATAACCTTGTCCTTTCAAAGATTTTCTTTTCAAAACCAAAATATTCTTTAGTTTTCAGTGCCATATTTGAATTATCTTTTAACATGATCGTTGTGGCCTCCCTTTGTACTTGTTATGTTGTGGAATTGTAGCTTTAGAATACTTATTATGAACAAGAATTAGAAAATTTAGTAGAGCCTTTGTACAAAATTTTTTCGTCTTTACGGATTGATAGCAACATTTTTTTGCCTGGTTTCCTGTTCCAATCTCATTACAACCTCTTTGGTGGTCCCCCATGTCGCCCACCCAGTAGACACCATTAAAGTGGTCAACATTAACCTGCTTCCAGAAAGCTGCTTTGTTATTCTGTAAGCTACACAAAAGGAATGTGACTCAATTTTACAAGAAATCAAAGGAGTGATGTAGATTAAGAGGTTGTTTGGTCCATTTGATCTTGTTCTTCCTTATTATTAATAACAATAATCTGCCTCAGGAAAGCTGCTTTGCTATTCTGCCTATACTGTTTTTCAACAGGGTGACCAAAAAATCATGATAAATACCCTATTATCTAAATGCAAAACAAACATCATTATTTATTTAAGACTTATTAGACACTGTAATAGTATTTTGACTTGTTGGTCTTCCTGGAATTATTAATAATAATATATAATAATCCTTACGTTTGAAATAGTGCCTTTCACATCAGGAGGACTTCTCAAAGAGCTTCAAAGGATGCATTGTACACAATGACTGTAGGTGATTGTAAGTTTGTAGTGAATGTGGCAGTGAATTTGCTCACATCAATGTCCCACAGACAGCCATGAACATTTTATTGTTGGCCAGGGCGCTGAGAGAAACATGATTGACAGAAACATGATACCCACCCTACCATGTTCTCATGGTATCATTGACTTGTTTGTCAAATAACTCTATTGTACAGACCTCTACCTCCCTTCCTGGTAATCTATCGCAACAGCTTTTCCACATGATCAACAACCTTCACTCCTGTCCCTTGCGAGTTGCTTCCTAAATAGGCCTGCTCAGTGTTACTAAGATCACTGGCTCAGCATGGTGGCTGCAGTACAGGGATATAGGCAGAAGAAAGCCAAGTATAAGTGAAACGGAACCCTGTGCACACAAACTGATGCCTTTGCTCAGATTTCCACTCAACCAGTGTCTGACTGCTGGCTGTGTTTAGTGAATTGGTTATTACAGCAACTCCAAAATGAGTCCACTCACCCCAGATTTGAAACTTTAAATCCTAAAGTTTTAAAAGTTTGTGCTGCAGTTACAAGATCACAAGATTAGTTTTTGGTGAAGAAGGTCCTTTGGTCCACTTGACTTTAAACTTCCTAGCAGCTGCCTTGAAATTGTCTTTGCAGCACTAAACCTGTGTTTTCTTGTTCTTCTATCAGTGCAGCAGCAACAACAAATTGCATTTATATAGTACCTTTCACATCAGGCGGTCATCCCAAGACACTGAACAGTCAAGGGCTTGCATCCAAGATGGGGCTTGCATTTGGGTAGGGAGGCATCCTAAAGAGCTGGTACAAAACTGAGTTTGAAGAGATCAATGTGGTCTTATAGAACTTCTCCCAGTCCTAAGACTGCACGTTTGCAGCTGCGAGACACAAAAATCACATTGAACTGGAGCAAGCTATGTTGTAAAACATGTCTTTAAAGGTAAGCAATGATGGATGAGTCAAAGAGCCTTCTCTGGTACCCACCTGGTACTCTTGTCAGTGGGAAGAGGGCATTTGGTATAAATGTTGTTAATACTATAATTTAACCTTATTAATTGGGATGACTCAATGGAAATCAAATTGCTCCCATCATCAATACCAATTTAAAGGCATTTTGTGTCAAAACTGTCTATTGTAAATAAATAGTGCCACAAAGCTACATTAGACGGCTGACAAAGATATGGGACTGTTGGATTAGTGTTGAATCTATAGCTGTTCGCATCCTACTATGATTGTTTACAACCAGTACTTTTGCCATATCCAGCTTCTTCCCATCATTTTTGGGGGGAACAATCAGATGTCTGACACATGGATGCCACAAATTATACAATATATTTGTATACATTAAAAAACATTTAAAAATATTTTTGCATTTCACCCACCAAATATGCAGTCAATTCACTTTACAATATATTCTGTGAAGTGCTTTGAGACCTCAGACCTCTCAACGCCGTGATAAGGCTCTAAAGCAAATGCAAGGATTTTTATTATTTTCACCATACTTGAGAGTATCCAAACCAGGTTGAGAGATCCATGTATATATGTCATCTACACATGGAAATTTCCTGTCTGGAATGACTGGAATAATGCTCAAGATCAGGACACTATAAATTCATAAGATGAATTAGCTCCCGAGTTATCAATGTTTATACGTTTACATGCTGTAAAATTTTGCAGCTCACATCTTGTGTAATGTAAATTATGTTATGCAGCGTGTGATTTCTGTCTTCTCATTCAGTTACACAAGTGCACCAGCAGTGACAATCACAGGCTGCGCTACATGTGGGCGGGAAAGTTAGATAGTGTTTCATTTCTTGCGATTTAGATCAGCAGCTTTCATCTGGATAGAGATGAAAACTCAAAACCATTGAGTTCAGTGTAGTGAAAATGTTAAAGAATATAACCATAGACAGAGAAAATATTTCTTACCTACTCAAGTTCAAATCCATATACAAATTGAACTTTTCTCTCTAACACAAAATTGTCAATTCCTAATCATGAATTGTAGCAGGTATATCCATTATGTATTAGGAATAAAATATTCACCAATTATGTAATGCAATGCAATTTACACCTATATATCACATTCAGGAGAAAACACTCTTTCTTCAATAATTCAAAGCCCTCAAGTATTAACTTTACAACATTTGGAGGATCTATTCATTAGGCAATTAGGAATAATATATGAACAAATTTACACATGATCAATTTGAAAAATAGGCTCTCGTCCTTCGACTCCAAAGCCCAAGTCACTTTGTCAAACAAGAACAATGTTGTTTGAAAATCTGTTACATCGGAAAAGTGCTTAAGTCCTGCTGAAGTTTGGCTCATTTGTTAGCACTCTCACTTCTGAATCAGAAGGTTGTGGGGTGCAAGTCCCATGTCGAGACTTTGAACTCATAGGCTGACATTTCAATGCAGTGCTGGGGTTGTGCTGCAAATGGAGGTTCTGTCCTTTGGATGAAAAAGGTCCCATCTGGGACGTGAAGATCCAATTACACTATTCATTAATGCCCCAAAAAACAATCTATAGTCAACCCACTTTGCATTATATCCTGTGAAGTACTTTGAGACATCTCAACGACGTAATAAGGTGCTATATCAAATACAAGGTTTATTATTATTCAAGAAGAGAAGGGAGTTTCTCCTGGTGTC